TGTTGCACCTTCCACCATTTATTTGCGGTTATCAATTTCTGGTCGGCGGAATTTTTACCAAAACCTTTATTTACGAGCGGATGGACACAGTTTGTATAAATTCTCTTAATCTGAATTTTAAGATACGCCTTTAATCGTCGTCGTTGTAACAAGAGTGGACGGGGATTCAATTAACGACTTTTAAACGAGTATCCGGATGAATTAACAACTTTATCTTGCATTGGTATCGGTTTGGCTAGACATTGGAAACTGTCTGGTTCATTAGTTTTAACTTGTTAACAGGAAATTGAGATTAACTTTGATATTAATAATAAAAAATAAAGAAATTTTAATTTTTTGAGAATAAAATATTGTGAAAATTTACATGGGACAATGACGATATTTTGAGAGTAAAGTGAGAGTTGTTTATGTTTGAAAGAATGACTAGTCACCTCCTCGAAGACATCAAAGGGGCTTTTAGGCGTAAACTTTTCACAGGGGCCATCTTAAAGAGGTTTATTTACGGCCTGGCTTCCATAAATACTTGTACGAGTTGCGAGGGCTATTTTCGACCAGTTCGTGTCTCAAAATTCTGTGTGTGTAGGGGCACAATCTGACGTTAGGCAAGAGAAGGCGCCGGCGCCAGACACTTCCTTTTTGACCCCCTCGTCTACTACTTTGAAAAGAAATGGTCTCATACTGTTCCACTTTCTCGGTACTAATAGATTAGGGAAACCTAAAAAGCATTAATATTGATGTTCCTTGAAAAGTCAAATTTTCGTTTTAAATTTTATTTTTATTAATGATATGGAAACAAAATGAGTAATATTAAGGTTTTATGAATTGTACAAAAGTGTTGAACTGTGAAGAATACGTCTTATTAAAGTGTTAAATGGACCTTCTTGTTACATTTGTAACCGCGAAACAACCGTTTCTATTTCGGTCGCAACACGAGCGGTTTACGACCGAAAGGCATATTAATAATAAGGTCTCGAGTTTGGGTTCATAAAAGCCGTTGAATACGACAATACTTAACACATGCAATCTTTGGTTATTTTATAAAGTTTTGCGTTTAGATCAACACGATGAATAAGAAAATGTTAATTTCTTTTTTAATAAAACAAACTTTGTATTCAAGAACAAAGACTCATCTGTGTGAATATAAATGAGCTAAAATGATTTGAGTTCAACGATGTTATTTTAGTATATTTAGAGAAAACAAGGTCATTTACAGAATATTTGAATAAGAAGAATTTTGAAGTTTACAAAGAAACGTAGAGAGACTGGATGGAAAATGTTGAGAAAAAAAAGCCACAGATTGTATAAAGCTCAAATGGTTAACATAGGCAGGAGATGTCCTGGAAGTAGAAGACCGATTGAAAAACCCAGAACACGATGGAGGATGAGGTGTTGAAGGGTGCCAGGAATATATTAGGATCTGCAAACTTGTAAAACACTTTAGAAGAAGAGTTGGATGGAAATTAAGGAGATTAAGTATGGATGGATGTTAATAATTATAAGTTATAAGAAACTGGTGTAACTACAGTTCAAAAACCAGATAAAATAGAAGCAAGACGTGGGTTATAACAACTGTACCATTTGCAGCTTGCATAGAAAATCGCCAAGGTGAGGAAAAAGGCCACCATAGCTAATCAGATCTGTTGCAAGCTCTTTGAAAGGAACTGGGGTTTTAAACCACGAATGGCTCACTGAACCTGTGTGGCAATAATTAGACCCATGGTTCATTGGTGAAACATGGGTCTCGCAACAACAGCTGGCACAAATCCAGCAATTTGCATGTCTTAATATAACAAGTACAATGACATTTTGTCCGACGGCTGCTTTTGAAGCCCTACTCGGTCCACCACTTCATTTGTATATACAAAAGGAGGCAACCTTGAGTGCCTTATCACTGAAGACATGCTCTTTACTCAAGCTGATACAGGATAACCTCATAGGACATCTCAAAATCCTCAGGGACCTATGTCTAAACCACTTCCTAAAGGTCATAAAGGAACAACTCCTTGGAACAATATTAAGGTTCATCATTAATCAGGGACCTAGATTTTTTTTAAACTTTTGGAGCGGTTAAGTTACAATAGATCTCATAGCTCACGGTGACGATAGAGGCAGCTCGCCTTTGCCCGGCAGCAATAATAATATGTTGTGTGTACTACAAAATTATTATAGATTTATGATCGAGCTAAGCTACCTAAGTTTCCCAGCCATGAATGGAACAAAGGGAATCCTGACAAGTTTTTTATTGCAAACACCCGATTTGTGGCAAGCAACTGGAAAAGAGCAACTACTCTTAGAATGACCTGGTTTTTACCTTAATAAATAAATAACTTCAAAAAGTAGTAAAATTGACGTCAAAGTTTCCGTAATAAAGTTGTAAAAAAATAATTTTATAAACTTTTTTGTCATAATAAATTTAACTCAATAAATATGGATGACTAAGAAGTTGTTTTTTTAACTATTTAAAAACAACAACCAGTAGTTGAGTGTATCATTAGAATTGTTGATGGAAATAAAGTCGATATCGTTTTATTCCGTAAACTTTATGCAGTACTCGTCTGACACGCTTCGGTACGATAATAAATCGCCGGCACATTGTGGGTGACGAAGTTTGAATATCAAATATTAGCAGGCCGTAGGTAGCCATACTTCATTGCCGGCGAATACAAAAGAAATCATTGGGACCAGACGACGCCTGTTACGTGCGTCGTGATTCACATCGAGTTGCGATGTTTTAATGCCGTCGCGTTTCACGGAAAAGCGTCTGTGGCGGATTGATGCCGACAACTGAAATATCCCGTATGTTGGCAACTCACGGCGAAGACGTGAGATTGAAAATAGAAATTGTACCCGTTGAGTGTGGACGCCCCTTGAATGGCGCACACCTCGAATGTTAATCGTAATAAAACAATGGCATCGAAGAAACTGTCAATTGCTTGGTTTTACAACATTTTGTAAAGTGTCACAAGGATTTATGGGACAAAGACGTGATGGTGAATGTTTGTTGTTATTGTTCTTGTATGCATGTATGTATGTAAATGAGATGCAAACTGAAAGTCAATCATAATAAATGAAGATAAAATTGTAGAAAGAAAAAGAATTTAATTTCAAAATATGACTTTCATCTTGTAGCATCCATTAATTCTATTCCTGTTTCAAAAAACCCTATCACTACAATTATTAATTCATGTCCATTCTTGCATGCATCTAATAATTTAAAGTCATCGAATACAAATGACCACCATAACAACGGCAGCAGCAGCTAACCAACCGAGCCGCAACAAAATAAACGATACCCAACTTCCTCCTTCGCTTCGGTTAAGCGATCGCCTCGATACAGTTAACTCTCTTCCCGTGTTGCATTATCCGTCAGATAGCGGTGAGCGCGGACTGTTAATTTTTCCATAACCGCTTTTCGTTTCCAGCGCGTTGTTGCTCTAGCACTAACAGCTCGACCGTCGTCGTGTGCGATTGCAACGGCAACGCGACTATAGGTCATTGACCCAAATGGATACGCGCCCCTGAACGTGGTGGCGCTTGTTTCGTGCACCCGCTGACATCGACGATGACATCTCGATGATTTAGAAGTCCGTTGCTAACCAGCTCGATCAAGTTCGTCTCGATTTATTTTCCGTGCAAAATGGTAATAAGTCTTGGTCGGAGAATTTAAGTTATGGACAGTGAGACAGCATAATGTAGTTTGTGCGGATGCAATGCGGTATTTCAGAGACGGGTTTGAACAAGTTTTGGAGACTGATAAATGGACAAGAATTTCTTGAATAATGATATGATCTTTGTTTATTTACATACAATAATTTATATAGATTGTTCCAGCTTATAGTTTTAGACATGTTTTAGCATATCATTTTGTAGATCTATTACTTTGTGGTACAATATCTCATATTCGCATTTGAAGTAAAAATCTTTTTCATTATTGAGTTCCAATGAAGACAATCAAAATTCATTTTTAAGATGGATATGACAGGAAGAATTTTGTATTATGCAAATTGTATCTTCTCTTTGTATCATTGGAACATACAAAATTCTAATATTTTGTTGGCTCCTATTTACTCATTGCATACAATTATGTTGGCCATATTTCCATGTATGTATTGCTAAAGTCAATTCATTAAGTAATGCAAATATGTCATATATGCAAAACTTATATAAAATCCAATGATAAAGAGAACATCAAAAGATATCAAAATTGCTTTTGGCGTATCTTTATTCATAACGCGTTTAAACTTGTTCAAACTGTCAACAATATTCAAATGTTTTGCCGGGCGGCTATCGTCAATTGTCCCTGATCGTTTACGACTCAATCGATCGCGGTGGCCGGGTGTCGTTTGACGACAGATGGCGCCTACGGCAAGCTGCATGTCCATTGAAAGAGCGAACTCCCTCTTTGGATTGAGCGGTGCGTAATTGATATATGTAGGTGCTGATTGGGTGCGACGATTGTGTAAAATGTTGATTGTATTTAGATTAGATTGAGATTAAAAAAGTTATAATAAAACATTGAGGAAATGACTCATTTTCCAAACTTCTTGCTCATTAAAATACTTTGGCGAAAAAGTTCGATAGCTAAAGCAAAATTATTATCATCACTATTATTACAAAATAATGTCTTTATTCCATGGCAGATTTTCGTTTAAAGGTTTAATTATGGTTTTTTACGTTCAGTTACGAGCACTAAATTTTTTATTGCAGAACGGGATTCCGAGGTACACCTATAAAACCAGTACTATATAGGCACTTTTACCACATACAAGATTGTGGTGTAATGTCGTTTCGATCGTACAAAACAATAGTTAATTATTAATTATCGTCGTTTAGAAACCAGAACTAATCGGGTGAAAACGCGGGTGCAAAACGTAAACTCGCAACATCTCGTATCAAAAATTTGAGGTCGCGGACAAACACAGATAACGATTTCAACAAGTTACAACATGCAAAAAAAAAATTTCGAATAAGAAAATTATAAATATATTTGTTTATTTTACCTGTCGATAGTTTATTATCCCCATTATTTATCCTTTCCTCGTCTGCGGTTTTCTGAATTGGTCTATTCACCATAACACTAGCGAATTCAGCACCAGCTGAAAATACTTCATCTATGATGAAAAGTGCAAAAATTTGGACGAGAAAGATTGCGTTTGGATTTGTTGACAACATTTTGATATGTATTACTTATTATATTAAAATTAGATAAAGTTTATTGTGAAATGCACGAATAAGTCCGTAAAGTCATTAAGACTAACAGAAAGAAAGTGGGTAAAAGTTGGAAACACGAATAACTGAGATTAGTAAAAAAAAAAGTTCGTAATAGTAATAACACGTTACGTGAAGACAGGAGGACGACGAAAGCGTCTTCTCCTCACGACGATACGATACGAACTGGACTCGACGGCGTGCGTCTGGTTAGTTTTAGCCGTTATCCGCCAGGCTTCGAACTCCATGTGCTTGGTGGCCGTCTATTCGATAATAAAGTTACCATGTATAGGACTTAGCAAAAGTATTTTACATACTAATAGACCTGTTTTGGTTCAAGAGTTCTGCAGTTCCAAACAAAAACGGACCTAATATATAATCTTAATCAGATATAAAGCATTCACTTACCTTATATAATTCCTCTTTCTCTTCATCTAACATACAAAATACATCACATAACAATAGGTCACTTTTCGGGTCTCTGTACCTCCACTGATTGTGTAACATACACATTTTTGACCGATTCTTGCATATACTCATTTGCAGGTTACATGGACAATCTTGTGAAATTGACGAAATTGTGAATGTGTCTTTTGTAAAACATTCATTTTCGAATTCTATAGAACTGAATCAGTAAGGTAAAGCCGAGCTATTCGATTATCATTTTCGAGGAGTTGGAAAAAATTGCACCCGTTTATTCGACATATACATTCTGAAACAACAACACGAAAGTTAGGTTTATAACTGCAGATAGATCTTCTGGAGAACGTGCATCAAAAATTATCTCTGCTGGTACAGTTAGTTCCGAAAAGGTGATTACTTGACTTTAATATTATGCTGAAAATCAACACCCTCCATAAAGCTTTCAGTTTTAGTTCAAGGACCACCAAATTTTCAACCAATATATTGCCTCCTTATTTTAATTTCCTTTCCGACAAGTTGTTAAATTTTCGAGCACTTGTAAAACACTTTTCCTTTCATTTGTCAATAAACAAAATATGCTCAACAAACTCACATGTGCTTCCAGAAACTCCATTACAATCATTAAAAGTGAATGTGTTGTGTGAACTATTATTGGCCAGAATTGATCGGACTTTAAATTAATGATATGTGGCTTCAACGATGGTGCCACATGTCACACAGCTTCCTAAATTTCTGTTTATGGGGTTATGTTAAATCGTTGGTTTATGTCTAGAAGCTAACATCTTTAAAGGAGGTCAGGAATTAGCTATTTTACGCGAAATTGCCAATGTTCCGGCAGAAATGTGTGAAAGAGTGATGTAAAATTGGACATAAAGAATAATTTAGAAACGCGAGCATGTTTAGAAACATGAAGTACAAACATTTGCAACTTCCAATTGCCCAGAATACAGTGAGTTATGTTTTGACACGTAAATCCACTCCATCCATATGATAGTATTCCGTGATAACGTCCTGACAATAAATATTGTAGTAACTGGCAATTCTAGAAATTTCATATTTTGTTGTTTTTCCAAGAAACTTCCTTTTCTTCTTCTTTTGGCTCTACAATCCTATGTGGGATTTGAACTCCCTTACTATCTCGCCTCATCTTCCTCTAACTTCTACAGCCTCAATTCATGAATCTGTCAATCCTTCTCTGCTGCCATCTTCCAGGTCCTTCGTGGCCTCCCTCGCCTTCTCTTCCTGTTATGTTTCATCCTGTACCTATAGAAGCCATCGTAGTGCCTACTATAGTGTCTTTATAAAACGCACTATATCCTCCTGCTCTCATCCAGCTCGTGGGTCCTCTTGGGTAAGACCGAAAATTTTACAGAGTATCTTCCGCTCAAACACCCTCAGCGTGTTTGTTCAACAGTATGCCGAAGTAGGTGAACTGTGCCGTCCCCTCGAATCTAAAGTCGTCAATAAGTATCGTCGTGTTGCATCATGTCTTTCGTTTTATTCTCTTGTTTATGTTTAGCTCCACTCCCGTTGTCTGTTGATTCTATTCTGCGAAAGTTTCCTTCAGAGGACCTTCATTTATTGGTGTAATTAGTCCTTTTCGCCACTCATCCGGCACGCTCCTCTGCGATGCAAATCATAAGTACCAACCTATGAATTCTCTCCCAGAACGCTGTATGTACCACCGCATTTCAGTAGCTTTGCCGTTGTGGAATTATTATTTGGGGTTTAATTTTTTTGTAATGCTTTCCTCGATTTCTTCCTTACTTAAAAGCTCAAATTTTGGTTTAGCAATCGCGTAATCCAACTTAGTTTCTTCCTCATAACCGTGAGCTTCCATCAGCAACTCCTGGAAAAGCTTTTTCCATCGGTTTAATACCCTTTCCTGCACTGTAAGTAGCTTTCCATTCTTATCATTTCATCGGCTTTCCTTTGGTTTAAACCCCCTCGTAATGTTACTTGATTCTCTGTCGAAATTTTTCTTTCCTTGCTATTACTGTGATTCTTCAACGTCCTTATCCTTCTGTTATATTATTCGTGTACAGTTTTGTCACATTTCTTCTTTATTTTGCATACACCTCCCGTTTGTTCTTTTTGCCTCTTTGTATATTTTCCAAGAAACTAAACTAAGATTTACGTGATCTACCCTAGCCACATATTCTTCAGTCAGGATCAACTAGGTTTTTTAGTGAAGACTTTCTCATCCCTTAATTTATTAATCCTAACATAAAGATCCCTGTTGAACCATGTATAATGGTACCATAGTAAAAATTTCTTAGAAAAAAGAATCAATCAAAAGAACAAAATTTAAATTTAACATTTTGTTTCATTTTTAAAATGCTACCCGTAATCTTCACATTACTATTTTTATTTTAACATAAAACCAATTGAATACATTCATTCTCACATGATTAGGATTAAACAAGATCCTCGTAATAAAAATATTGAACATTGTACGTTTCAAATTACCAATATTCGATTATTATCGGTAGAAATTCGTTTCTAAAGAATTAGTGCCGAGTAATAAAACATTTTAAATTGACAAACTATTTTTAAAACATTTCCATTTATAGTTTCCGAAAACATTTCAATAAACTTAATGGTTTGTACCAATTATAAGTTAAATAAACAAAAATATAACAAAATTGTGGAATTTAGCATGTACGGTATTTACAACCAATATCATCATGTATTTTACATCCCAATTACACATTATTTGCGTTTTCATCTAGATCATGCACCAGTCACTCGTTTTAATGAAGTTGAGAACATACGTTTAATTCTGGATACTGTCACTTATGGCGTTGCTTTCGATTACAGAACCCATTTTGGCAATTTTTTGAGTTGTCAGTTTGACTGGTTTGAC